TTTATTTATTTATTTATTTATTTATTTATTTTGTCAGGCAGAGTTAGTGAGAGAGGGAGACAGAGAGAAAGGTCTTCCTTCCATTGGTTCACCCTCCAAGTGGCCGCCACGGCCAGCGCGCTGTGCCGATCTGAAGCCAGGAGCCAGATGCTTCTTCCTGGTCTCCCATGCGGGTGCAGGGGCCAAGCACCTGGGCCATCCTCCACTGCCTTCCTGGGCCACAGCAGAGCGCTGGACTGGAAGAGGAGCAGCCAAGTCTAGAACCTGGTGCCCATATGGGATGCTGGCACCGCAGGCGGAGGATTAACCAAGTGAGCCACGGCGCCAGCCCAGAACCAACACTATTAATTCACACAACTTCCTGATTTGTGTTTTCTCACAGAAAGCTTTATTATAAGTTCAGTAATTGTTTGTTATTTTAAAGCTTTATTATTTTGAAAGTCAGAGTTAGTGAGGTGGTGGGTTATCTTACATCTGCTGGTTCACTTCCCAGATGGCCATAATGCTGGGGCTGGGCCAGGCTGAAGCCAAGAGCCAGGAGCTTCATCTGGGTCTCCCACATGGGTGTCAAGGACCCCAACACTGGACCTATCCTCCACTACTTTTTCTAGGCCATTTTCAAGGAGCTGAATTGAATAGTGGATAAGCCGGAACACAAACTGGCACCTATATGGGTGTTGGCACCTCAGATAGAGGCTTAATCCTCTACTCTGAATGCTAGTCCCAGTTCAGTAATTATATGACTCTTCCAAGACATTGTAATTATGTTTGATTTTATAAGTCATACAACAGTAATCTTGGCATTGAGTTTTCAGTAAAGTTTTGATTATGTGCAAAAATAGATACTTAAAGTAATAACAAAAGCTTGATTCATTTATTAAAATCATGTTCTTGGTAGACTTGTGTACATCTGTTTTCAAAAGTTTTATTTGGATCAGCATTGTGATGAAGTGGGTTAGGCTGTTGCCTGCAATGCCAGCATCTCTTATAAGAGTGCTGATTCAAATCCTAGTTGCTCCACCTCCAGTCTTGCTCCCTGATAAAAGCTCCCGAAGATGGCCAAGTTCTTGGGACCCTGAACCCACGTGGGAGGCCTGATGGAGTTCCAGGCTTCTGGCTTTGGCCTAACTCAGCCCTGGCCATTGTGGGTATTTGGCGAGTGAACCAGGAGATGGAAGATACTTCTCTCTCTCTCTCTCTCTGGGTGTGTATGTGTGTGTGTGTCTTCCTGTCTGTAATTTTGCCTTTCAAATAAGTCTTAAAATGTTATACCAATGCGTGTAATACATTTAATTCAATTATTATTGCTTATAATTTACATTAAGAGGATTTTTAACTTTAAAGAATTTACACATGCAATAATACTGTAATGTTTTACATCATATTCTTTTTAAAAAATTTGTTTATTTTATTTGAATAGAATATTTATTTAATTCGAAAGGCAGAGTTATAGAGAGACAGGGAGAGAGAGATCTTCCATCCTCTGGTTCACTCCCCAAATGGCCACAATGGATGAGGCTGGGCCAGGCAGAATCCAGGAGCCAGGAACTCCATTTGGGCCTCCCACGTTGATTCAGGGGCCAAGATATTAGGACCATCCTCCATTGCATTCCCAGGCTACCAGCAGAGAGCTGGATTGGAAGAAGAGCAGCCCATATGGCATATCAGGGGTACCAGTACCTCAAGCAGAGACCCAGTCCACTACGCCACAGAATGTTTCTGCCCCTAGAATGTTTTTTTCTCAGTCATATTTCCTGTCCATCAGCGATCAGATTGGCTTTGCTTTTTTTCTGCTTCCCTCAGACTCCCAGAGGACAAGATGAGCATTTTCTTTCTGGAATATTGGTTATTCTTGTATCAGAGAGAGAACCTGGTCACCCATGTGTGGGTCTTACAGTTTCTGCTTAGAAATTGCACATGCCACATGTTTTCTCTGATATGTGGTAGCTAATACATAGAATACAAAAAAATTTTAATATATATGAATGAAATTGACATCTTAGGATTTGATTACTGTTTATAAGAAGTCTTCATCTATAGTCCTGCTGAACAGTGGTCTCTCTACTCTTTACTTGTTGAACTCTTTTATTTAGTAGAGCATTAAGCATGTGACTATAAAGTAAATTAAAATGTATCACAAAAATTACAAAAGGGAGAGGGTGGGGGAAGAAAGTATCATATTAGAATTCTATGAACTACATGAGATCTTTACATCAATAAAAAATAAATTATAAAATAAGTCACTTCCATTCATATGTTGTTGGTCAAAGCAAGTCATAGAGAGAACTATGAATCTGTTTATGTGATTTCCATTGTAAGGGGAATATGCAATTATTCTATAGAGAAAGGCAAAACATTAATTTTTTTGCAAATTTCCATTTTTTAGTCTCTTTTTTTCATTTTTAATTATCTTTATATACAGATCAACTCTATACTAAGTAAAGATTTCAACAGTTTGCACCCACACAGACACACAAAGTATAAAGTACCGTTTGAAGACTAGGTTTACTGTTAGTTCTCACAGTACAACACATTAAGGACAGAGGTCCTACATGGAGAGCAAGTGCACAGTGACTCCTGTAGTTGATTTAACAATTGACACTCTTATTTATGATGTCAGTGATCACCTGAGGCTCTTGTCCTGAGCTACCAAGGCTATGGAAGTCTCTTGAGTCCACAAACTCCGACATTATTTAGACAAGGCTATAATCAAAGAGGAAGTTCTCTCTTCCCTTCAGAGAAAGGTACCTCCTTCTTTGATGGCCTGTTCTTTTTGCTGGGATCTCACTCACATAGATCTTTCTTATAGGTCATATTTAGGCAAAATGTTTATAACATGAGAGATGATTTAGGTCTCCAGAATGTGTATGTTTAAGGCTAGTCCCAGCTCCTCAAGGTGACTCCATTTAGAGCTAGAACTTTTAGGATGTAATCGTGTTTAAATGAATTTATAAAGGTAAGGCCCTAATCTGGTAGGATTGATTGCTTTAGAAGAACAAGAAGAGAGAAAAAAGGAAGAGGTATCACCCACCGTCTGATAACACTTCAAGAAGGCTGCCACCTATAAGCCAGGAAGAAGATCTTGGACTTTTTTGTTTGTTTAAGATTTATTTATTTATTTGTTTGTTTGAAAGAGTTAGAGAGAGGGAGAGACAGGGATCTTCAGTCTACTTGTTTGCTCCCCAGATGGTCACAGTGGCATGGGTTGGACCATCTGGCAGGATGCCAGGTGCTTCTTGCAGGTCTCCCATGTGGGTAGCAGGGGCTGCTTTTCCCAGGCCATTAGCAGGGAGCGGGATGGGAAGTATAGCAACTGGGACACTAACTGCCACCATATGGGATGCCGGCATTGCAGGCAGAGGCTTTGCTATTGACATATAGAATACAAAGTAAGCCATGCCACAACACTAGCCCCTCCCTCTGGACTGTACAGTGTGTAGAGCAGTTAGACTATCCAGTACATTGTATTTTCTATGGCAGTCCAGAGAAGGACATTGATTTGGGGTGATACCATACCCTATCTCTTCTTACTTCTTGAATTTTTCTCACAAACTTTTAAATTAGCTTGTCTATATCTAAGAATGTGTTGTTTCCAGGAGCATAATACTAGGTCAATGTACTGATTTAAGGACACTGATAGAGATCCTTCTTGTCTGACCATGGTGTGTCTTTTCAGTTGGCTTGGTTCTTTTGTGTGTTTGCTTTTTCCCTTCTATCAAATAAGTAGAGCAATGTACATTTTTGTGAAATGTATTGCTGGGCATTTCATCTTTTTGTTGTTTTATTTGTGTGTTCTCACTTGTATAATGAATTTTGTAGGTTATTTAAATAGTCTGTTAATTCATTGAACCATGTGATTCAGAATAGTTTTCAGAAGATTGTTTTGTAAGAATAAATTATAAAGCATTTCAATATTTCTCTTTGCATATGAATTGACTAATTGCTTCTTATAAATAACTGTGGTGATGGAGCATCATTATCGTCCCATGTGTCCCCTTTAGCTGTGACATTCATTTTATCATGGTAAGAAGAATGCCCTGGACACTTCTTTTAGTGAGGGTCTATATTATAAATGGGATGATATTTAAAAATATACTTTGTGTATGTCTCTTTTGCTGTAGTTTGATTTCCCTGGTGTGCATCTGTTGTGCTGTTATGGTCTGATTTCTGTTGCTTTGTGTTCATGAGAACACATTTGTGTAGTAGTTTGAGTAGTTTGGCATCTCAGTGAAGTGCAGCCTGATGATGCAGAAAAATATATTTTAGGGGCCTGGTGTTGTGACACAGTGGATAAAGTCCCTGCTTGGGATGCCCATATCCCATATTAGAGTGCTGCTTGGAGTCCTGGCTCTGCTACTGAGTTTCTGATCTACTTCCTGCTAATATCCTAGGGAAGCAGCAGAAGATGGCTCAGGCACTTGAGTCCTTGCCACCCATGTTGGAGATCTGGGTGGAGATGCTGGCTTTTGGCTTCAGGGTGAGATCTGGATGGAGATGTTGGCTCTTGGTTTCAGAGTGGCCCAGTCCTGGCTGTTGCAGTCATTTGGGGCATGAACTAGTGGGTGAAAGATCTCTCTCCTGTCTCTCACTCACTCTCTGTCACTGTATCTTTCAAATAACTAATTATTTTTTTAAAAGAAGGAAAATTTTATTTTCTTCTTTGTTATCCTGTTCTACATTGAATTTGTGTCTCAGTCTGTCTACCATGTTATTTCAGCTAATGTTCATGTCTTTTTGGAATCACATATTTTTCATCCTGTTCTTGGAAAAACATGAGTTCCTGATATTAAGGAAAACAATTATAGTCTCTTTTTTTGAAATTACAAAATTAATATGCAGGCAGGATATTTATATTGTGATTTTTGTTGCTATTGCTATATAGACTACAAAGTAAGCTGCATCTTATAAGAGGTATGTGTAAGATAAACACAGAAGAATGCACTTCCAGTCTTGTTTTATGATTCACAACTGCAGTATTTAACAGAAATTTCATGTTGCAGATGTTTGTGTCCTTTGAGGATGTGGCTGTGGCCTTCACCTGGGAGGAGTGGCAGAAGCTGGACAGTGCTCAGAGGGCTCTGTACAGGGATGTGATGCTGGAGACCTACAGCAACCTGATGTGCTTGGGTGAGTGAAATGCCTCAGTCCCTTCCAAGTAGAACACCTTCTTCCTACTTGACCAATACATGAACCCTTTAACGTTAGGTGTAAGATTCCACAAAGAATGTCAGCATCAACTGTCTGAAGCAAGGGGCTCAAATTAGCCCTTTCAATGCACAGTTTCTCAAGTTAAACCATTGCTGTTCTTCAAAGGACCTGACTGAGCAGTCTGGCATGTGTTGTTTCGCATTAACAGGCTGCTGCATTTCCAAACCAGAGGTCATCTTCAAGTTGGAGCAAGGAGCAGAGCCATGGATTGTGGAAGAACCCGTAAACCACAGCCTGCCAGGTCAGTCTGTGCATCCTGGGTAGCAAGGCTGGGAAAAAGAATGTTCGCCAGATGTTTTTGGTTGAGATGTTATCAACAAATATTCCCAAGTCTCAGCCTGCAGACAGCTGGTTGTGTGCATCAGACATAGGCATTCTCTGGTCTCCAGGGAAGGTTCTCACATAATACTCATCTTCCTTGTTCTTTGTTACTGAATATCCTTACCCATCTTTTCTTAGATTTTTTTTCTTGGTTAGAGGCATTCTCTAAGTTGTCAGTTGTTGTTTTCTATATTTTATGCTGTTGTTATCCTTTAGGCATTTATTTCCATGTTTATTCTTTCAGTGCTGGTTAACTGGGCAGCTTTTAGGTGCTTACCTTTTTGTAGTTTTAAAAAAATAACAATATGAGGAAACAGATATGTCTTCATTTAAAGAGCTTACATTCTCTTGAGAGAGGAAAAAACCCAGTATTTGGTGATATGAGGTAAGACACTCAAGAATGTTTTGCCAAATTGAAAGACTGAAAAATGGCACGTGTTCTTTTAGGTAGGGTCCTAAAAGAAGGCAATTCTAGAGACATATGAATTATTTATCTTGGGTTACCTTAATGTTGAGATTAAAGTTTTCCAAATTTGACATACAGAGGATGTAAAATTCAGAAAAGATAGTGTACATCTGTATTGGAAAAACAGATTTATAGATCATTAGCTTAAAGCTGGAATTTTTTTAAATTGTTTTATTTAAAAGGTGGATAAACAGAGCAAATGAAACAGAGGGACAGATATTTGCTTGTTCACACAAATGACAGCAGCATCCAGAGCTGAGCCAGGTTGATATCATGATCCTAGAACTCAATTTGGGTCTCCCACATGGTTGGCAGGGATGTATACACTTGGGCTATTATTTTATTTCTTCCAGGGTATATATTAGGAGGAAGCTGGTTTTGGGAGCAGAGCCAGGATTGAAACCAGGCATTGCAAAATTGGATGTGGACATCCCATGTGATTACTAACCTTTGTGCCAAATACTTGCCCCCTGGTCTGTTATTTAAAGTATTAGTAGATTTCCTAGAAGGTGGTGAGACATGAGAAAAGGGTCAGGCATTGTGGTATAGTGGGTTGGGCTGCCGTGTGTGATGCTATCATCCCATGTCAGTTCAACTAAGTCCCTACTGCTATGCTGCTGATCCACTTCCCTGCGAATGTGCCTGAGAAAGCAGCAAAGGAAGGCCCAAGTGCTGCCACCATGCAGGAGAGTTGGATAGAGTTCTTGGCTGCTGGCTTTGATCTGGCCCAGCCTTTTGGGAAGTGAACCAGCAGGTGGATGATCTCCACCTCTCTCTCCTGGGCACTATCACTCTGCCTTTCAAATCAGTCAGTCAATCAATCTCCATGTCTCCTGGGCACTATCACTCTGCCTTTCAAATCAGTCAGTCAATCTCCATTTCTCCTAGGCTCTGTCACTCTGCCTTTCAAATAAACAACAAACAAACAAATGCTTTTTAAAAAGAACATGAGAATAGGGATTCAGGAATAAACCTTGTGTACCACAGCATTACAAATCTTGTTGCCCAGTTAGGACCCGGCATAGGAGCTTAGAAAATGTTGGTCCTAGACTTGGGAGGTGAACCAGAGGATTCTGAGTTCAAAGGCCAAGTGAATCACCAGATGCATACTGAAGGATTCATGTTTGTTTGAGGATAGATTTTGAAGATAGCGTACTAAAAGTACAAAGAGATAAGAAATGTGTAGAAGGCTCAGTTTTCTGTGACAGGCATGTGACAGCTGAAATGCCTAGAGAAGGTTAGTCACCAGAAGCAGAGAATTTGCAGGCTGGAGTATGTACGAGGAAGTGAATGGAGAATGTCAAGGCTGTTAAACTCAAAAGGAGCCAGAAAAAGAGTTTTCAGAGATGACGGTCTCAGACTGGGTTGCAGAACCAGATCCTTTAGACTGGCAGGGAGAGGTTGTGCCCAGGAGTGGTGGGCTGAAGCTGTTCTGTACCTCTTAAGATGCTGAGGAACAGAAGATGTCAGCTTTCTTTAGGAATGTGGTGTATGCTGTCTTAATGAAGTGTGGGGGAGAAGAGGTCACATGTTTGAAAAATCCCACAAATGGCTACAGTCGTTCCCTGGGGAATGGTGAGACATAGACAGCCCTAAGTACATCGCCTGTTCCTAAGCCGTGTTTCTGCTTAATTGACAGACATATGGCTCTCACCTGTACCTACAAGTTGATGTTCTATAAAAACCTTGCCATCTTCTAAGCTGAAAGAAGAGCAGAAGAAAAGCACAAAATACAGTTATTATGAGGCAAAAATGGAGAAAGAGAGTGGGAAAATGGCTGATGAAAAGTTCTCAGCATAATACTAGAGCTGGGCAGTAGTGTTTTCCAATTTGTTAAAAGGAAAAATAAAACAACAAAAACCATCCTGATTTCACATTGGGAAATCTACTAGTGTAATTTATTATATTGATTCACCAGGGAGAATTAACATGTACTGTCATAAATGAATGTCCTTTATTGATGTTTAAAGATTTTGTCATGACGGGAAGGAACTATTTTGCCTTTATACAAGTATTCCAGAAGAAACGTTTAGATGTGGTTGATGAATATTTTTTTTGTTTTTTTTTTTCATTTCAGTTCTCCAGAAAATGGACGACCTCATTGGAACAAGCCAGGAAATTCAAGACATGATTTTCTGGCAAGTTGTAATGACAAACAACACATCAACCAAGGAGAACACTTATTTAGGAGAAACATTTAATTTAAAATCCAACCATATGTCAAAACTGATAATGAAGGATGGAAATTATGCAGAAATGGGGCCTGAGGAGTATAGAATATGTCAGAACTCTCTTCTCCTTAGTGAGCCTGATGATCTGTGGGCTGGCGAGAAACCTGATGCCTCTGTTGATGAACCTGGGAAATCTCTCCGATTCTACGAGTATCCTAGTCGGCATCAGGCTTTGCCACAGAATTTTGAACACAGTGGACAAAGGAGCACCTTCAACAGCGAGGCAATGTTCTTTACACACAAATCAGACCTTACAGTACATCAGGTGACACATACAGGAGAACATCCCTGTGCGTGTAATGAGTGTGAAAAGTCTTTCAACTGTAAATCAAACTTCACCGTACGTCACAGCATTCACCCAGGGGGAAAGTCCTATTGGTGTAATGAATGTGGAAAAAGCTTTTGCCGGAAGTCGAACCTCCACCGACACCAGAGAACTCACACAGGGGAAAAAACCAATGAATGCAATATATGTGAAAAAAGTTTTTACCAGAAGTCAGACCTTATCATACATCAGAGAATTCACACAGGGGAAAAGCCCTATGAATGTAATGACTGTGGGAAAACCTTTTGCCGGAAGTCCAGCCTCAGGACACATCAAAGACTTCATACAGGTGAGAAATTATTTGAATGTGAAGAATGTGGAAAAACTTTCTTCTACAAGTCATCTCTCTCTCAGCATCAGAGAACTCTGTACGAATGTAAAAAGTGTGATAAAGCATTCTACCACTGGTCTCTATTCTGTAGGCATCAGCAGACTCACACAGGGGGGAAACCCTATAAATGTAATGAATGTGGAAAAACTTTCTGCAGGAAGGCAAACCTCAGCATGCACCAGCAGACTCACACTGGGGAAAAGCCGTATAAGTGCAACGAATGTGGAAAAACTTTCTTCAGGAAAACAAGCCTCAGCAGACATGAGCAAACTCACACAGGGGAGAAACCCTTTGAATGTAATGATTGTGGAAAAGCCTTTTATCTGAAGTCAAACCTCATCATACATCGCAGAAATCACACAGAAGGAAAAGCTTATCCATGTAATGAATGTGGGAAAGCCTTTTACCAGAAATCATACCTGATTATACACCAGAGAAGTCACACAGGGGAGAAACCTTATGGGTGTAATGAATGTGGGAAAGCCTTTTCCCGAAAGTCAGATCTCGTCAGGCATGAGAAAATTCAAACAGGGGGGAAATCCTATGAGTGTAATGAATGTTCTAAAACCTTTTGCCAGAAGTCAAATCTCAGGATACATCAAAGAATTCACACAGGTGAGAAAATATATGAATGTAAAGAATGTGGAAAAGCCTTTTGCAGGAAGTCACATCTCAACAAGCATCAGAATATTCACAGGAGTGGAACAGGCATTGTGGCACAAGAGGTTAAGCTGCCAGTTGGAATGCCTGCATCCCATATCAGAGATCTAGTTCAAGTCCCAGATAGTCCACTTTTAATCCAGCTTCCTACTAATGCACATGGAAATACAGCAGATGATGGCCCAATTAATTGGGTCCCTGCCACTCATGTGGAAGACCCAGATGCAGTTCCAGGCTCTTGGCTTCAACCTGATCCAGCTCTGGCTGTTGCAGGCATTTGGGGAGTAAATCAACAAATGGAAGATCTCTCTCTTTCTCTGTCTCTCCCTCTGTCTGTCCCTCTGCCTTTCAAATAAACATAACTTTTTAAAAATATATTCATGGAAGAAAAACCTTATGAATGTAATGAGTATTGAAAGATCTTTTCTCACAAGTCAAACCTCAACAGATGTTAGCTAAATCACAGAGGAGGCATGCTGAGTGTACTGAATGTGGATAAACTCTTATCAGAAGAGACACCTCAGCAGATACACAGGGAGTGACCTTGTATGCTGGAGACTGGCTGTGTGTTCCTCAGTGTCTGCTCTCTCCTCTCAGACATGCATCCTGCATTTTCAGCCTCCCCTAATTATGATTGAAACCATGTAAATGATCCCTGCTTACACAGATGAATTTTGGGAACCAATAACCATTCAGTCTGTAATATGCAGTTGTTTGAAATCTCATCTCCATAATTTACACAGTTATTTGGAATTGCTCAGTTTCGGCTGCACATCCTTTCTCCTACAATTTTACTTGTACACATCGGCTGTGTGAGCACAGATGTGCCACACGGCTCCAGCCCTGCATGATGAGTGTTTTGTTTAGTATAGAGAGTTGAGTCTCTAGTGGCCTTTTTGATCCTGGTTATCACAGACTTATTTGTAGATGAACCTGGAGCTGTTTGCACTGTAGGAGTCTGTTTATCAGACAGAGAGAAATTGTGAGCTGAGTGTTGTGGTGGCATAAAGTGCAGGCTGTCTTTATGTGACTGATTTTGTGCCATCATCTATTTTTAATTTTGTTTTCTTTTGTTTTACATTCTGTTGAAGTGAGTTACATGCTTTGTTAATTGACTTATGACTTGACTGCATTTATCTAACCCATGTGACCCTTTTTTTTTATTTCACTAAACTATTTGCAGGTATTTGCTTATAAATATGATAATGTCAAATGTTACAGTGGCTCTGTGTCCCTCTTAGTATATTTTTTTCTTTAATTTTCTCATTCTCTTTGAAACCTAAAATCTGTGTGAACTTCCATCCCACACTCCCAAATCCCTTTGTGGATTCAGATGAGACTTGCATTCAGCTTGGATTTTCAAAGATACACACTCAGAATCAGAGTTCACTCCAGTGGTGTAGCCATTGTGCCACATCCAGGCTTCCGATGCGAAGCTGGGTGCTTTGGCTGCAGCTAGCTGCTCCTGCCCTGGCCCATCCTGAGGAAATTCCTACAAGTCACCCTTGCCCTCTTCACTGCTACCCACTGGATGTAGCTCCTTTGTCCTGGTCATGCCCCCTTGGCATCTTTTACATGCTAGTCATTACTATGAATATTAGGAAAATTAGAGAATTAAGGGGAAATAAATGGTAATGTGTTTCATATAAAATTAACAGCCAGAATAGCTGTGCTTATTCCAGATAGTTAAGCTTAAGGCAAAATCAAAATCTGTGCTGATAATCTAATTGTCCATGCTCTCACAAATGTGCTCTAGCATATTTAAAGTTTTAGCCAACTTGAAGGAGTAGAGAAATCTGTGATTGTAGTGGGAGAAAATCATCCCTCTATTGGGTTCAGAAAGGCAGATATGGTAGAAAATGTAAGAAATTTATTGCAAAAGTAGTAAATAGACATGGACATGACCCCATTATTAGCTTAGTAGCATTGAAAGCAGAATGCTTCACATAGTGACTTTCTTTTCCACTGAAGTAGAAAAGCATCATCCAAGAGTACAGTAAGCATCCCATAGTGCAGAAGGCAAATTCTGGGCTGTAGCAACACACAGGATCTCCCCAGTGCCCTGGCTCTGAGTCCCCAAAGAAAGACTGCAGGGCTCATCCAGGGTGTGGCTCCCTCAGAACCTATTCCAGCAAGAAGCCCCCTGATTATGGTCACTCCTTAACCGCCCCCAGAGGCTCCTGTAGTCAGAAGACCCAGGACCCATTGGGGAACAGAAATAGGAGGGAGTAGGTATACATTTTTGTGTGTTTGGGGCCAGGCTCACTAGCAAGGACACCAGGGCACAGTTCCTTCCAGGACCTCAGTAGGTCTAGAAATGTCAGAAACCAGGAGCATAGAAGGAATGGTTGGGGATGATGTGACCCTTTGTGCAGCACCTTAATATGTGGGGAGGGCATCACTGAAGCCTTACACGTTGTGTACAGATTGTGAGCCTTTGTTTTATCCTGATGGAGGAAGACTGGTCATGTGGCCAGCTCATTGTGTGTAGACTGCCGGTGTGAATATGTAAGAGCTCACTTGTTTGATATTTCTGTGAGTTGCTTATGGTACTGGGCTGGGGTCATGGGTTCTTTGCCACCTCACCTTGGCCGGGACATCTGCAGCTTCTATCTAAAACTCTCCTAGTGCCTTTGAGTCTCTGGACAAGGGTTGGAGGTGAATGTGCTGATGCTGATGTTGTATTCAGGATAATGAGTTTTTTGCCACTGACTTAGGTCTCAAATGTCCACAAGATCTGAACAATGTCAGTGTCCACTTGAAAGCAAGGCATAATGTACACCTTTCAAGATGCAGCAGGCCTAGAAGGAAGCAATTGGATCAGAGCGTGTGGATGGTGAAGGTTGGCAAGACTTTCCTGGGCTCTGCAACATTGGCCTGTGCTGCAGGTGCAGTGTCCCTATCCTGGTGTCATGGTTTAGTCCAGTGAGAGGATAGGAGAGACTAAAGTAGAATGAAGTCCAAGAGAGATCCCAAAGGGAGTGGCTGGGTGTAAAATATGGTCTTGACGGATGGGGATCACTTTCCACTTAACCACCGCTCCACCTCCAGTTCTCATACCAGTAGGAAGGAAAGACAACACCCTCATTTCTACTGCATTTTACTCCAGTCTTTCTGAATTTTCAAATAGATGTTTGGTTAGAGAAAGCCCCAGTAAAGTTCCCTGGGGTCAAAGAGCTCAGGTATCCCAGGACAGTAGCAGGCAATTATTGAGCCCTTGTTGCATATGATGATGATATTGCATGTTCAGAGTGTGCATCTGGGTCAGAGGAGAAAAGGTTCCCAGTCAGATTGGATGAAGGAACAGATGGGAATGATAGCATTCGGTATCCCTGATACCAGTAAATGCCTCATTCTGCTTAGAGCAAGTGATCCCATTTTTCAGATTAAGAAATTGAGTTAAAAGTAACTTGCCCAAAGTCACCTAGCTGGAAAGGATCAGAGTCAATAGGACAACGTGACAGTATATTGCAGAGAATATAAAATATAGCATTTGGATTTCCTTTGGCTTACCTATATAACTGGTTCTAAATTTTAGGCCCTCCTGGTGAACCTGGTGAACTTGCACCAATGGTAAGCGTTAAGAAAGCATGTGGGCCCAGTTATATATGGTCCATCATGATAATTATGTGGGCCCGGTTATATATGGTCCATCACTATAATTATGTGGGCCCGGTTATATATGATCCATTATTATAATTTATTTTCCTTGCTTCACCATAATGTAGTAAGAATGGCACTGCAATTTGGGGACTGTGTACTATGGATTGTGCTTAAGCAATATATTCCTTTCAGTGGAGTATTTAGATTCAAAGACTTTGAATATGGTTAGCAAATAGTACTCAGATAACTGTAGTTGGGCAATTGAATTCTTTTTTTCTGTTGAACACATGAGGGATGCAAAATATTCAAACATAATAAAACTCTTCTTTGATGTTTTTCATTTATTTCAATAATTTTATACTATAACACTGGCAGGTAGAGGAAAATTTTTCTTTTTTTTAAAAATTTTGTTATTAGGGTCCGATTGGTCACGTGGACGTGAAGGACCTTCTCAAAAACTGGTGAAGCTGCTTTTCCTCATTTTGATTTGAAGTTTAAAAGGAGCCAGATTGTAAAACAAGAATATTCATTAATTCCCACCCTTGTAGCTCCCACTATATTTATTTAATTTTTATTTAATTTTTATTTATTTTTTGCTCCCACTAAATTTAGTCTAAACCAGAGAACTCAGAATGGAATTTTATAAAAACCTAAAAGGGCTCTTTGATAGTACATTACTAGGTAATATCTCTCTTCTGTGTTCTCCGGGCTTCTGATTAAAATTTCTCCATGAGAGTCTTGAATACCAACAACATTTGCTGACAGACTATTGAAATGATCTGAAAGAAGAAAATACATTATTCTGATTGCAATACATCGTTATGAAGTCTTCATTAAATGGAATTTATTTTTAAGAGTTAATTTAATTTTTGTATCTGTGGCACCATTACCACAATTTACAGAGAAATATACCTGATGTAATGAAAAGAAAACATAAAACTGCACATAAATACCTCAGGAATGTACATCTAATTGGCACTACATTGCATCACCCATTTGCTGCATTTTTTGCAAACTGGCTATGATAGTCCTGAACAAGAAAGGTTTCCTTTTTGAGCTGTAGTAACTTTTCTTACTATGGATTATTGTTCCCTCCTGTGGCAGGTTTTTACAGTTCCTGTTATGCATTTGGGATGACTTTCTCAAAGTAACTGCAGCTTTCCTGGCAACTCCTTGCACTCCTGCTAAGAACTGCAGCGCTTTTCTTCTGTTTTTAGAGCTTTCTGCTACCATATCTATCACTTTGGGACTTTCAGATCCATAACCACCACCATCATGAGTGCCTGAGCTGCTTCCACCAAAACTGCCCCTTCTATGGGTCTATAATTTGATTGCTGTTGTCCACTATAATTTCCAAAATCATTGTGATTTTCACCACCACTGCAGTTAGGATTCCAACATATCCTCCTAAATTATAACTGCCATATTCTCTTCCTCCACCATATCTACCACTTAGGGTTCCATACCTTGGTCCACCACTATCCTAGCTTCCTCTGTTACTGTAGCCGGGACTACCAACATCACTTCCTCCAGTAACTTCTGTTGCCACTACATCCATTACCACAGCACCATCTTCCACCAAAGTTTCTACCGAGGCCAGAGTTACCTCCACCACCTCCAAAGTTTCCTCTATGACCCATTAAATTGCCAGATCGACATGCATGTCCTCTTTGTTACCCAGCAGCAGGCTGAATCTCTTTAGAAAGGGTCTTTTTTACTTCACAACTATGCCCGTTAGTAGTGTTCTATTTCTGAACAGCAATTCTATCAACTGGATCATGATCACCAAGTTAAAAAAGCAAACCCTTTTTTCTATTCTGCCTGTATTTCATAACTTCTATGGTTTCAATCTTGCCATTCTAATTAAAGTAGCGTTTCAAATTATATTTTTCTGTATCTTCTTTAATACAGCCTACAAAAATTTTCTTTCTTGTTAGATGGCACAGTCTTCACCAATCCTCTCTAGAAACAACTCTCTGGTTCCATTACATGCCCATCAGCCTAGTGTGGTTGAGCACACATTGTTGCATCCACCTCTTCACAACAGTAATTCAGAAAACCAAAGTCCCTGGAATATTTTGTTTGGGGAGCTCTCATTACTACACAGTCCGGGTGTGTCCATTTCTCAAAATGGTCTCTCAAACCAGCATCTGTAGTTTCTAAGCTCAGAACACCAGAACAGTTTCTTCAGCTGTTCCTTTGGAACATGGTTCTTCCAGTTTGGGTTTAATATGGGATCTAGAGCTACATGGAATTTAAAAATATGTTAGCATAGTGCCTACAGGGCTCCCCTGAGTAAGTAACTTCCTCAATTGGATTTTTACTTAAAGATGAGACAACTTCAGATTTTAATATTTATAATGTGAACATTGACATATATAACAACAGATTTGTTTTCTAGGTTCTTAGTAGTACCAGAGTTTATGATAAAAAAAATGGTTATACTATTACTCTCCATGTGACCTTAAACCATGTAAATATATTATTTTTTCTTTGTAGGTCATGCTAGTTTTAAAGCACATTATGCTGAAACATATATTAAAATGTCTCATAGGTTTTTTATTATAACAAAGAAATGGCAAGTAGAATTTTCAGAGGCAGTGCTTTACTTCAGTGCCATGTGGTCATACAGAATCTCATGGCATATATGTGTAATTAGGTGCATGGGTTTCTCTGTGTTTATATAATGGTGCCCAAGATAAGATCAGAATAATTTTTATCTGTCTCTTCTAGATACCTTAATGAAAGTTACGCAAACTGACTTGTGGTATGGATTGCAATCAGAAATAGAACCTAGTTTTTTTAAAATTCAGTGTTTTGGACATAAACTGTCAAAGAAGGTTTGCTTGTAATTTATTTGTCATCTAGTCTCATAGAAGAATGTTTTAATGTCTCTCCAGCTTCCCACTCTTTGTTTTTTCTTTCTTCTGTAAAGGATGAACATGGTAGAAACAGAGATATTGGTGCAGGGGAATTTGTAGGATCCCATGCACATTTGTATTTATCAATGTAAGACATAAAGACAAACTTCTAAAAAGAAAGAACAATAAAATTAACTTGAAATTCATTGTATGCATATGTATTCAGCACTAAGTGCAAACAACCAAGCAACCGGTCCTTCTGTTAAAAAGGAAAGTGCCAGAAGACGTTTTGCCAGTGTAAGAGCTAATTCCAATTACCTGTTTCGTTGTTAACACCATGAGTAACCCTACTGGAGCCAGAGAATTATATTAGAACCCAAATTGGATGCTCTCCAAACTGGGTATTAAATTTTCAGAAATAAAGAAATTTGTTTTCAGAAAATAGTCACTAGCTTGACCTCTACCATTCACATCTCAGTCTTATATTAAAAATATTTTTAGATACTTTTATTCTATATTATCTTCAATGATTGAAACATTTTTTATCAGCTAAGGCAATAAATTATGGATAGGATTCCAATTATGCCTATTTGCTCCCCAAATCCTATTGTTGGCTGACATTCCTGATTAATATTCTGGGCCCTGAAATCTGAAAGCACAGTGCACTAATTGGCAGCCCTCGTAACATGGTACCCCCCCCCCCCCCCCCGCATTGGCTCACCAAAAGGAACAGGTCTCTGGCACCTGACTCCACCAGAATTCATGACTTAGGCCACTTGAACATTCTCTGTGTTCATCAATCTGTTGTTATTCATATTACTGTCCTAGGTAATCCCTGGGGTGTGCTACATAAGCACTGGGGGAAAATTGGATAGTAACACAGTGATATCTTAAAATTTTGAAAATGTCACCAAATCAGTACCTGGCATTAATCTGTGTTTAGTCTTGTTTGCATCTCTAGCAGTATGCTTGCTTTGCTGATTATGATCATTCAGATATAATTTGACAGCTATACTGCTTTTTTTCATTTAGCATGCAATTCAGACTGATACTTTCTGGAAAAAAGATCTATATTAAGTAATTCCTATACTTATTAATGACTCTAAAACCCCTTATCTATTTTTCACTAGGGAGCTAAAGACTTTCCTGGGGCTCTGGGTCTTCAAGACCTGAAGGGTCATTGAGTAAGTTTAATCCATCATACTCCTTTCAGGTTATGTGGTTTGCTGAGTAAGGTATGGGAAAGCGTTACCTTAAAAATCTTTACTATTGTATTTGTTAGAGATCTTTAACCTGCTGTGGCTACAGTATTCATCTGTGACTACCGAAATTACAGATGCTTTTATACCATTTCTTGGAATTTCATTTTATTCTATAAAGCAATCTATTTTTAGTTATTGCTGTGTACAAGATATTGTGCTACAAAATAGGGCAAGTGTTCAATGAGGAAAATCTCTGCAGCTTCAGGCTAATAGGTGACACAGTTAAGAAAGTAGGCAATTGCTGCGTAATGGAGTAAGTGACATGACAGGAGTAAGGAAGTGCATTAGGTCCCAGAAGAGGCCCAGTCAACCCAAACTTCGAAGCAATAAAATGCTTCTTTTATAACAGGATAATATGTAACCATTCTATACTGTGTGCATATATAGTCTGTTTATCATCTATTTATCCATCTATCATTTGAAAGCAAAGCTGATAATCGGTACATATTGAGTGGCCTTTGTTTGCAGTGGTTGAGCTTTTGTTTAGGATATTTGCTGCTGTACTAGTTCTTAAATACATTTTCAGTGATATTTGTGCAATGCTGGTTGCAGGACCCTAGGATTATCAAAATCATGGATACACAAGTCCAAATAAAATGGCATATTGTTTGCATGCAATCTGTACACATCTTCCTGTATCCTTTAAATCATCTCTAAATTAATCATAATATCTAATGTAATGCAATTTCTATGTAAATAGTTGTTGCAATGTATTTTTAGGCAATAATGACAAGATTAAAAAGTCTGTACAGAAGCATCTGCTATGTGTTCAGTACAGATGAAACCATTTAGGCCTAACTACATATTACCCATCAGCATCAATGGAATTTTATTTTTTGAATATTCTCCCTCTGTGCTTCTTGGGATTTGTGGATGGGGAGGACCAACTGTATTTTGAATATCAATCCTGGACTTAATTCATATTTTATAACTAAATAAACTCTATAAATGTATGTGTGTTCTGTACTATTTTATTGGCAACTATTATAGATTAAATGTCTATAAAGTCAAAAATGTTTTAAGAGTCATACTATTATAAGTTGAGAATGTTATTTTAAGGTAAAAAACCACTAGTTTCTCTCAAAATGTTTAAAAATTTGGAAATACTTTGAGTAACAGTTTTACACTTGAGATCAGTTTTCATAAAGCGCTTCCAGTTAGCTTATTTTTCCCCATCTTTTGAGAATTGAAATAAACAATATACAGATATCAATTCCTCATTTTCCTGGGATACAAAGGTACTGAAAACTCTAAAGGTAAAGTTAGAGCAGACGGTTCCAAGGTAGTTCTACAATACCTCAGTGTAACCTCTCTGTATCATTTTAGTTCAGTTTTATGTACCCAAAGCTTTTAGAGGAAAAGGGAATATAAATACATGCCTTGGCTAATAAAGTTTCTCCTATTATTTACTACACTTTGATTCTATTTCTTCCCTATTTTTATTTTTAGACAGAGAAAACATAATAGAAGCATAGAGGAACTAAAGTGATAAGGTTCATGAGACACTTGTGGAAAAGTATTAGGTTTTAAAATTCTTATTTCTAAGTCTTCTATGGATTATCGTAAGGGTATATAATTCAGGCAATTTTTTGGGGGGAACTAGGATGTATCTTTTGGTTTTTCTTTATATAACTTTACAAACTAGGATTTCTTAACCATATTAATACAATACAATTATATCCATGTATACAATAATATATTAATACATCAGGTTTCATACAAACTTTTTAGTGGTTATCTGCTTTATTGACTTGTATAAAATGTGCTGAAGACTGAAAAGAAGGTATTCATATCTTTTCCAATTCCATTGCATGGGTTTTAACTCACTGTTTTGCCACTGGACCGTGGCAAGCAGACAGATAGATAGTAAGACTGCTATTCTAAGACTCTGGGAAAGAAAGACCTGCTTTTTTTTTTTTCTAAAGAATATTTGTTATTTTTTTATTTCATTTCTTTGGAAAGGTATAGAGTCACAGAGACCTTCATTTCTTGGTTCATCCCCTAAATGTCTTTTACATCCAGAGCTGGGACAGGTCAAAATCAGAAGCCCAGAACTCAATCTGGGTCTTCCATTTGGTGGCAGGGACCAAGTAGTTGGGTCATCACCTGCTACCTCCCAGGAGGTGAATTTTCAGGAAGCTGGATTGGAAATAGAGGGGCCAGGAAATGAACCAGGCACTCCAATGTGGAATACAGGATTCCAAAGTGGTGACTTCACTACTACACCAACCCCCCTGCCCCAGACCTAAGTTTTAATGCTATCCCATTCAGCTCAAATTCCTTAGAGTGAGGGCAGGATCATATTTATGCTCTAGGGTGGCTGTTAGCAGACTAGCATAAATTAATGGATGTAAAAACTCAGCACAGGGGTCGGCATTGTGATGTAATGGGTTAAGCCACCGCCTGAGACACCAGCATCCCATAGGGGTGCTGGTTCATGTCCTGGCTGCTCCACTTGTGATCCAGTTCTCTGCTAATGTACCTGGGAAAGCAGCGGAAGACGAGCCAAACACTTGGACAACCCCTGCACCCACGTGGGAGACCCAGAAGAAGCTCCTGGCTCCTGGCCTTGGCCTAGCGCAGCCCCAGCCATTGTGGCCATTTGAGGAGTGAATTAGCAAATGGAAGATCCTAGAGTGTGTGTGTGTGTCCCTCTCTCTGAAATTCTGCCTTTCAATTAAATAAATCGTTTTTAAGAAATTTAGTGTAGGGACTGACACTAAGTTCTCTATCCAGGTTAGAAATTAGAGTTTGAAATGTAACCAGAAGTGACTTATAGTAATAGGCACATTCTTAGGAAATAAAGCCTAAGATTGAAAGCTCAACACCATTGCAGAGCAGGCAATTTTACTTTAAAAAGTTTTACTTGAGATATATCAGAAATAATGTAATTACTTTTTTGTGGCTCATTATTTTTTATTTTGTTTTTAATTTTTTTTTAAAAAAACTTATTTGACAGAGTTAGGGAGAGAGAGAGACAGAGAGAAAGGTCTTCCTTCCATTGGTTCACCCCCAAAATGGCCTCTCTGGCCGGAGCTACGCCCATCTGAAGCCAGGAGCCAGGTGCTTCTCCTGGTCTCCCATGTGGGTGCAGGGCCCAGGGACCTGGGCCATCCTCCACTGCCCTCTCGGGCTACAGCAGAGAGCTGGACTGGAAGAGGGGCAACTGGGACTAGAACCCGGTGCCCATATGGGATGCTGGCATTGCAGGTGGAGGATTAACCAAGTGAGCCACGGCGCTGGCCTTGTGGCTAATTATTACGGTTAAATGTGATAGTTTTTGTCATCTTGTTTAAATACTCAATTTTATTTAAACATTCCTTTATTTTTAAATGAAATTAATTTCACATTTTTTTATTTGAAAGGAGAGAAAGAAATGGGAGGGGAGTCCATCTATTGGTTTACTCTTCCAAATGCCTACAAAAGTCATGGCTGACCAAGCTAAAGCTAGTAGCCTGGAATTCAATCTAGGACTTTTACATGAGTGTCAGGGACTGAATTTCTTGAGCTGTCACCTGCTGACTCATTGTGAATATTAGCAGGAAGCTGGAATTGGAAGAAGTATCAGGATTCAACCCAGCCTATTTGATATAGGACTCAAGTATCACTAAGTGGAGTTTTAACCACTATGCCAAATCCTCATCCTTATTTAAACATTTCTCTTTTTTTAAACTTATTTAAGGTTTACAAATTTTATGTATACAGATTTAGAAACATAGTGATTCTTCCCACCCTACCCATGCTGCCACCCTGCCTCCCCCTTCCTCTCCTATTTGCTCTCTTAATTTTTACAATGATCTAATTTCAGTTTACTTTAAACTCATAAAACTAACCTTATTATACTTAGTAATGAATTCAACAAATAGGAAGAAGAAAAAAAATATTGTTCCTCAGCATAGAGACAAGGATTGCAAATAATCATTGAATTCAAAATGTAAATATACATTACATTTTTTTGTACTCTGTTACCAGAGATCAGGGAAAATATGTGGTATTTGTATTTTGGGGGCTGGCTTATTTCACTAAGTATAATGGTTTTCAGTTGCATCCATGTTGTTTTAAAAGGCAGGATTTTATTTTTTATGGTTGAGTAGTAATACATAGTGTACATATAGCATGGTGTCTTTATCCAGTCGTAAGTAGATGCACATTTGGGATGAATCCATATCTTACCTATTGTGAATTGAGCTGCAGTGAACATGGGGTACAGATAACTCTTTCATAGGCTGATTTCATTTTGTTTGGGTAAGTTCCCAGGAGTGGAATTCCTGGGTCATAAGGTGTATCTATTTTCTGAGGTATCTCCATACTGTCTTTCACAATGGCTGTACTAGTTTACATTCTCACCAATAGTGCATGAGGGTGCCTTTTTCCTCACATCCTTGCCAGCATTATTTTTGTTGATTTCCGCTTGAGAGCCATTCTAACTGGGATGAGGTGAAACCTCACTGTGGTTTTGATTTGCATTTCCCTGATGGTTAGTGACTTTTTAAAGTGTCTGTTGGCCATTGGAGTTTCTCTTTTGAAAAAAATGCATGTTAAAGTCCTTTGCCCATTTCTTAACTGGACTGTTTGTTTTGTAGTTGTTGAATTTATAGAGCTCTTTATAGATTCTGGATATTGATAAGTTTCACATTTTTCAAATATTTTCTCCCATTCTGTTGATTGTCTCTTCACATTGCTTCATGTTTGTTTCTTTTGCGGTGTAGAAGCTCTTCAACTTGGTGTAATCTCATTTGTCTATTTTGGCTTTAATTGCTTGTGCTTCTGGGATCTTTCCAAAGAAGTCTTTGTCTATGCCATTATCTTGCAGAGTTTCCTTAATGTTCTCTAATAATTTGATGGTATCAGGTCTAAGATTAAGATCCTTAATCCATTTTGAGTAGATTTTTGTGTAAGGTGTAAGGTAGGGGTCTTGTTTCACACTTCTGCAAGCAGAAATCCTGTTTTCCCAGCACCATTTGTTCAAGAGACTGAATTTTCTCCAGAAATTTATTTTAGCTCCTTTGTCAAAGATTAGTTGATTGTAGACGTGTGGATTGATTTCTGAAGATTCTATTCTTTTCCATTGTTCTACATATCTTTTTTTATGCCCAGTACCAGGCTGTTTTTATTATAACTATCCCATGGTATGTCTTAAAATCTGTTATTGTGATGCCTCAATTCTTTATTTTTGATGTGTAAGATTCCTTCAGCTATTTGGGGCCTCTTGTGTTTCCATATGAATTTTAGCATCATTTTTCTCTAGATTTGATAAGAATTTCACTGATATTTTGATTGAGATTGTATTGAACCTGTAAATTGCTTTCAGTAGTGTGGACATTTTGATGATATTATTTCTTCCAATCCATGAACATGGAAGATTTTTCCATTTTTGTGTTTTCTTCTATTTCTTTCTATGATGTTTTGTAATTTTCATCATAGAGACCTTTAACCTCCTTGGTTAATTGTATTCCAAGGTATTTAATTTATTTTCTGTAGCTATTGTGAATGGGATTAATACTAGAAGTTCTTTCTTATTCATAGGGCATTGTCTGTGTATACAGTAGACTTGATTTTTGTTTATTAATTTCATATCTGGCCACTTTACCAATGGTCCCTTGATGCAATATTTTGGTTTCCCTATATATAGAATCATGTCATCTGCAAATGGGGATAATTTGACTTCTTTCCTTTTTGTATCCCCTTTGATTTCTTTTTTTTCCCAATGGCTCTGGCTAAAACATCCAGTTCTGTATTGATTAGAAATGGTAAAAGTGAGCATGTATGTCTGATTCTGGGTCTTAATGGAAATGCTTCCAACTTTGCCTATTTAATAAGGTGCTAGTTGTGGGTTTGTCATAAATTACATTAATTTTTTGAGGAATGTCCCTTTTATACCCATTTGCTTAAGATTTTCATCATGAAAGAATGTTGTATTTTATCAAATGCTTTATTTGCATCTTATGAAATA